GTTTCAGGTAGCACCAGTGCTTCCATTCCTCCTGCTGTGCCATATGGCCCTTCATAGTCTTAAATCCTTTGCTTCACCATTACCCAGAGATTAAGTGGGAGTAGAATAAATAATCATCCTGTTTTGTGGGGAGAACATCTACGATGCTAACAGCATCTCCTATACACTTTTAATCAGTCCTGCCATTTTTTTAGTACCTTCCTTCCCTAACCCTTGGGAATAAATGAGGCTCTATCAGCTGGCCTCTTTTTGCCTGCTTCAGTGCTAGTGCCATAAGTTTTAGCTTTCTGTGTTTTTGCTAAGTCTGTTTCAAATTGTCCATTGTTTTCTCTTTCCCAGATTTTATAATCATTACTCATGCCATGTTCTCTTTTATTTTTCATTCCTTTAGTGCTGTTTTCATGGGGCTTCAAATAAAGGAGAAATGAATGCCAAGTGTTATGTTCAAAAGTAGAATACTACAGTTTAGATTGTTCTCCATTGCCTCTTCATTTACCTTTATCATGTATTTTCATCTTGGTCTTATTTCATGATTCTTTAAAACTCATGTGCCAAGAACTGTACAAAGAACTTTCATAGACTATCCAGCTTATGTCCCTCAACTACTCCATGAAGTACTATGAGTATAATACCTAAGATAGCAAACTGAGGCTTGCGAAGCTAACTGATTTATAAAGGGTTCACACAGCAGAAGGTCTGAGATGTAACCCAGATAGCTTGATTCTAGAATGTGTCTTCTTAAACAATATGCTTTTGTAGTTCTCTACACTGTACAGCTAAATTGGTTTATATAGTAATTTAAGTAGAAGATGTAAGTAAACATTTCACCTAAACTAAGAGGGTATTTCATTAGGCCTTTATGAAAGAAGATCATATAGTATTAGAGCTTCAAAGGCATTTAAAATTATCTGTGTTATAGGTGAGAAAATAGGAAAATCCTAACAGTTATATTATGTGCTTTGGAGCAAGCTCAAACACATAAAACCTGTGTGCATGCATACACATGCATGCGTGCATTAAATGTCATGTATACATGTATATGTAACTAGTAGCTAGATACAGAGGTATTTGTAACTTGATATAGAAGCATTTTAGATTATTTCAGATAAAGGCTATTTCAAAATACAAAATAGAAATTTAAAAATTGTTAATCTTTTATTTATTTCTGTATTTGGTACAGGGTCTCACTATGCAGCTCAAACTAGTGATTCTTCTGTCTCAGCCTCCATAGCACTGAGATTACAGGAGTACACCACCACTCCCAGTTTGGGTGGCCAGCATGGCACAGGGACTGGTGCCACACGAGGTACTGGGGTTCAAACCCAGGTCCTTGGCTTACGAGGCAGGCACCTAGAATGCTGAGCTATCTCCCCATCCCCAAATTAAAATATTTTAGAATGATAAATTTTTGGTTATACAGTAGATTCTATATTTATGCAATATAATTTGAACTGCACTGGTTCTTTGCCATGAAAGTACCCATGCACACTATGACTTTTCTCTTGTTTCCTACTTTTCTATTCCTAATATATTAACTAAGCAGTGTTTCATATTCCATTGTTATTAGTCTTCTAAATCAAATACAAGTATGAGAAGATGGACTTGGAAGTCTTTCTCAGAATAGTTCTAATTCAAACTGAATGAGATCAAGCTTTTATTTTTAACTTTTTCATGTATTCCTGGAGAATAAAGATAGGAACCATTAAGAAGCACATGTTTTTCTGGGCATTACTAACCTTCCATCGTAACTGCTAAGTGCACTTGTCATGGACTTAAAGCCATTAGAGGAAACAGTACTTGGATAGGCAGGATGGAGGTACATTAGCAATATGGAATAGTATTAAATTTAGAAACAAATCTAGCACAATTATTTTGGACTAAAAATAAAATAGGAAACTAATAAAATAACAAATCTTAAGTTTAACAGCAGCATAAGCTCATGTTATAAAAAAATGCATTCCATATGTGTGTGTGTGTATATATATATATATATATATATTTTTTTTTTTTTTTTTTTTTTTTTTTTTTTGAGACAGAAAATCACTTTGTAGCCCAGGCTGGCCTCAAATTCACAGTGCTTCTCCTATCTGAACATCCTGAGTGCTGGAATTATAGGTGTGTACCACCAAACCTAGCTCCATATATAATAAAGAATAGTATTAAAATGAATGAACAAAAGGATTATAAGACATATAAATCTTAAAACACTAAAAGGAAAGATTGATAACTTTGACTAAATAAACCTTTTCAAAGTTTTCTTTTTAAACAAAAAGTCAAAGGAAATCACAACTAGATAAATATTTCCAATAGATAAAAAGTTAATATCTAAAATTTGTAGATTTTTTTATATATAGATGAAAATATTGTGTACACTACAAGAAGAGTGTACTAAAGATGTAGATACAAATGGGTATGGTGATGCATACTAAAATTCCACCTCCCAGTTACTTGGAGGCTGAACAGGGCAATCTTAAGTTCAAGGAAAGCCTGTGCAACCTAGCAAGACCCTATCTCCAAATAAACAATAAAAAGGGCTGAGGATGCACCTCAGTTTAAGGTCCTTAGTTCAGTTTCTAATACCACACACACATGCACACATACACACAAAATTCTCAAAAAAAATACAAATGAACTATAAACATGAAACTGTTCAAGCTAGTTAAAAATGTCCATAGTGATAATTACATATTGAAGCAAAAATGAACTACCAATTTTACACATACTGTGGTTAATTGATAATGGGAAGAGCATAGTATACTGAGTGCCCCATTATCATGCAGTGCTGACCAACAGATAGATTGATAATGCTTTTGTTGTTTGGTTCTTTTTTTTTTTTTTTTTGCAAACTCCATGATTTTGTTCTTTCTAAATTAACAGATTAATTCTTTTAGACAAGTTTTAGACATACAGAAAAATGGAATGTAAAGTGTATAGAAGCTGGGTGTGGTGGCACACACCTGTAATCCCAGCACGCAGGAGGCTGAAACAGGAGGATTGTTGTGAGTTTGAGGCCAACCTTGGCCGCAAAGAGAGCTAAACTACATACAGAAACCCTGTCTCAATAAGACAAAAAAAAAGTATATAGAGAGTTCCCATAGACTCATTGACCACTCTGCCCCTATTTCTCCTATTATTGACAAATTGCAGTAGTGTGGTACATTCATTATCATTGGAAAGCCACTGTTGATACATCCATAGTTTACATTATGCCTCGTTCTCGTGCCATACAGCCTGTGGGTTTTCAAAAATGCACCGACATGTGTCTCCTACTACAGCATTGTACAGATGAGTTTTGCTACCCAAAACTCCCTACACTCCATCCAGTCATCACTTTACCCTGTTTCTGAGTCACTGGAAACTACTAATTTTTTTTACTATCCATATAATTTTGCCTTTTCCAGAATGTCATGTAGTTGGAATCATACAGAATGTTAGCTCTTCACATTGTCTTCGTTCTCTTAGGAAAAACCATTTAGGGTTTCCTTATGTTTTTTCATGGATCAGAGACTAATTTCTTTTAATTGCTAAACAATATTCCATAGTATGGATGCACTACAGTTTGTTTAGGTATCCCCCCATTGAAGGATATTTTGTTTGTTTTCAAGTTTTGACAATTATGAATAAAATTCTTATAAATATTCATGTGTAAGTTTTTGTATGGATGTTTCCATATCACTTATATAAATACTAAGAAGCATGATTGCAAACATTTAAGTCCCATAGACCCCTGTCCAGCCTTTGAGGCAGTGTATGAGAAGCTGTGAATTCCAAAGGGCTTGATGGCTCTGCCCTTGCTGCACAGTGTGTGCTTGCAGCTTTCATGGCTTCTCCCTTAGGCTGGCATTGCTTCTTTCTTGCAGCTTTCCTCAAATGATCCACATTCCTGGCTTCTCTAACCTTCTTGGGTTTCCACTGCACCTTCCGCTTCATATACATAGCTCCATACACTGCTTGCCCTCTCAAGAGCATACTGCCTGGCCTTCAGGGCCTTATTCTGAAAACTGGGTGGAAGCCTTTCTGACTGCAACACTAAAATCAACACTATGTGGATGATGCCAGAGTCTCCTGCTAGCTGGAGCAGCAGCCTGGCTTCTTTGTTTCTTGGCTATAGAAACAAGTACCTGGATCAAGTACCTGGATTGTTTATCACTGTGTTCCAATCTGGAGGAACAAATTCTTTAGGCTGCCCCATTCTGAAATATGGTGTTCTGGGGCTGTCTTCTCAAAAGTCTTTTCCTTTGCAATTCTGAGCCTGCAAAAGCTAGAGTTCTGCTGGTTCTTGTGATATTCCCAGATCATCGTTTCTGTTGTTTTATTCCTTCTCAAAAACCAAGTTTTCCTCTTTTCCATCTTTGCAGTCCACCACTTTATTGGAGCTCCCTTTCTTGCCAAACTCACAGTATTTTAAGTCATTCTGCTTGGTTCTTTGCTCTTGATTCTCTAGTTACAACTGGCTAAAATCCTTTAACAGTAGCCATGCCACTACCTCAACATTAAACTGCCTTGAAATTTCCTCTGCCAGATTAATTAGTCCACTGCCCTTAATCTCATCTCAGGCAAAATATCTGGGCAAGAGCAAAATGCAGAAAAATTTTCTGGCAAATTGACAAACATGATCCAGACTGCAACAGTCATCAGTCCTTCACAATAAAAACTTGAGCCTGGTCTTTACTGGCAGTATTTCCATCAGCATTCTGGACTTGTTAAATTAAAAAATGCCTTGTGCTAGCAAAAAAAAAAAAAAAAAAATGGGAAGAGGTAGAAGAGAAAGGGGGAAAAAAAAGGACTGAGACATGTTATGTGCCAATTTCCCACAATGAATCTAATCATTATGTATTGCAAACAGGTACTAATAAAAAATAAAAGAAAAATAAAGCCTAGGTAGATGCCCCACTCCCAATTTAAGCAGGGAACCCTGGAATGTCTTTTCAAAAAATGAAATAAAGCTTCTGTTTAAAAAATGGGGACAGCGTCCTAGTTTCCGGTTCCAGCAGCACCGGGATCCGAGTCGAGATGGAGGAAGATGCCATCGGAGGCTCCCGCTCGCTGGGGACGGAGGGTCGCGCCGGGGCTGCGGCCTAGAGGCTCGGGCTTGGAGCGCGCATCGGACACGGGAGAGCCGCTGGGGTCTGAGAAGCTGTTCAGGTGCAATGGAGGACAAACGCAATATCCAGATCATCGAGTGGGAGCACCTGGACAAGAAGTTCTATGTGTTTGGTGTGGCCATGACAATGATGATCCGTGTCAGTGTCTATCCATTTACCCTCATCCGTACGTGGCTCCAGGTTCAGAAGGGAAAGAGCCTGTACCATGGAACCTTTGATGCTTTTATCAAGATCCTGCGAGCAGATGGTGTGACGGGCCTGTACCAGGGCTTCCTGGTCAATACCTTCACCCTTATCTCTGGCCAGTGTTATGTCACCACCTATGAGCTCACCCAGAAATTTGTAGCTGACTACAGTCAGAGCAACACAGTCAAATCACTGGTGGCGGGGGGCTCAGCCTCCCTTGTGACCCAAAGCATCACTGTGCCCATCGACGTGGTGTCCCAGCACCTCATGATGCAGCGCAAGGGTGAGAAAGTGGGCCGCTTCCAGGTGCGTGGGAACCTAGAAGGACACAGGGTTGTTGCCTTTGGCCAGACTAAGGACATCATCAGGCAGATCCTGCGGGCCGAATGGCTTCGCGGCTTCTACCGAGGCTATGTGGCTTCACTGCTTACCTATATCCCAAACAGTGCTGTCTGGTGGCCCTTTTATCACTTCTATGCAGAGCAGCTCTCGCACCTGTGCCCTAAGGAGTGCCCTCACATCATCCTTCAAGCCATCTCCGGGCCCCTGGCTGCGGCCACTGCCTCCATCCTCACCAACCCCATGGATGTCATCAGGACCCGTGTGCAGGTTGAAGGCAAGAGCTCCATCATACTGACTTTCAGACAGCTGATGGCAGAAGAGGGGCCTTGGGGCCTCATGAAGGGTCTCTCAGCCAGGATCATCTCAGCCACACCCTCCACCATTGTCATCGTGGTAGGCTACGAGAGCCTCAAGAAACTCAGCCTGCGCCCCGAGCTGGTGGACTCGAGACACTGGTAGACATGGCGGGCCGAGTAGCTTGCTGTTTCCCACACTACGCTGGGCTGGGGGCAAAGCAGGAGAGCAAGTGCCCTCTCAGATGTGCCCAACCCATCCCCATCCCTGTGTGGGGCCAGGTGGCCTGACTAGGATGGGGCAGAGACTTTGAATTGCTCTTGCTGAAGAGGTTCCATGCCCGGCTCCCCTGCCTCTACTACTATTTTTAATTCTCCTCCTGAACTGGGCTGCCTCATTCAGTCCCTGGACTCAGTCCTGCCCTGAGGATCCCACCCACCTCACCCTGCTAGCTCTCTCTGGCTTCCTTTGTATCTGTCCTGAGGCAGGGAGAAGAGCCTTGCAGACAGCTCACTTACTACTTCTGGGTCCTCCTCTTGGGTTTCCAGCCCAGACTCTTAAGCAGCTGCTCCCATCCCTCTCCTGCTTCATCTCTTATACTTGCTTTTTTAAAATTTGGGACTGTGTTGCTTCTCCCTGCCTCTCCGGGCAAGCTGCAAGGCGTTTTCACACAGGGAGTATGGCTCTGCAGAGCCCTCAGCCTCTTTTGAGGAGTTACTAGGATAAGGAAAAAAGTTGATAGTTTATTTTATGTGTGTATTTTTTAAGAATCTCTGAACTAAGCTATTATCTTAGTCCTCTAGGGCACCAGTCCTGCTGTCAGAGCCTACCCTTTCCTCAGACAGGTAGAAAATGTCATGTAGCTTTTTCCTCAATCCCAGGTTCCTGTCCCTTCTGTATCCTTTCAGCATCCCTTCAGTCCCAGCAGCCCTCGTACCATGTGAGCTGTTGGCTTCCCCAGGCATAGGTGGACAGCACCATTCTAAGTAGAACAGGCTGTCTGGAGCACACTGGACTTGGAGTACCACCCTGGAAGGTCTGGTCAAGACAGCAGTTGGTTTGGAAAGCCATGAAAGGCTATGTGTCGCCTACTGTATCTCCTCAGGCCACTGAGCCAAGCCTAGGAGAGAACAGTGGAAGTCCTCACAGCAGGCAGCCATAACACATGCAGTATGTGCCAGTTGCTCAGACTCATGGCCAGAGATGTTGAACTGCTCTTGGGGTGTGGAATGTTTCTTTTTTCTTCCCCCTGGATGTGAAGAGTCTTCCTAGTCATGGCACCCAGTGCTTGCAAGAGAATAAAGAACAGTTCAGGGAGTCATCCAATACCAGGACCACTGCATTCACCAACCAGATACTGCCAAGATTACCTGAGATGCTCTCCTCAGGAGCTCAGAGATGGCGCTCCTTCCCTGCCTCATCCTCCCTGCTCCACCTCCTCCACCAAACCTGTGTTATGGGCTGAAAGATGCTGTAAATGGAACGAGAAGACAGTCAAGCTCTGCCTTCCTACTTGAGACATTTGGCCTAAATGATCCTTAAATCTTTTTTAATGGTCCCATCACAGGAAAGGCTACAGTGCCAATGGGAAAGGTGCTAGCTACCTGAAGCCTTGATTTCTTATGACTGTGCTACATTGTTCTATCCTGGCCAGGGAAGAATCTGAAAACCATCTTTCTTTCTTTCTTTCACATTTTTTTTCTTTCTTTCACATTTTAACAGCATATAATCTAATGGAATATATACTACTTTTGTTTTTTAAATATGAATTCCCAAGGTAATACCTTAACTATTACAGTCTCTCTTTTTTTATACCAAGAATCGAACTCAGGACCTTGCGCTGGCCAGGCAGGCACTATGCTGCTGAGCTATATCACTGGTTGAAAACCATATTTCTGTAACTAAATTACTACCTGCCACTCCTCATCTTAGGCCCATTTTTCAAGTTTCTCTCCCATTCTCTTAGTTTTTCTTTGTCCCTTCCTGTACTTTATCAAGAGAACCTTTCAATTTCTAAATTCTAGCCCTTCAGTTTCTAAATGGCCAACCAAGGAGTTGAGGCCACAGATCATTTGAATCTTGTGTCCCTCACACACTTCTTCATCCCAAGAACCACCAACATCATGGGCCAAGGGCCCTCCTCTTTAAGCTTTTCCTAGTAAGACTTTTGGAGGGGCTGGTGAGATGGCTCAGTGGTCTAAAGCACCTACTTGAAACAAGCTTGGCAAAGCACAGGGACCTCGGTTCAATCCCCCAGCACCACATGCCAGCCCACCCCGCCCCGTGGTGGGCTGAGCTGGCCACACACACACACACATTAAAAAAAAGAAAGAAAGACCTGTGGAGATTGGCTTTCTTGGTTTCACGGTTTTTTTCTCCCTTAGTCTTCCATCCTTTCCCACAATGACAAGTGAGCAAAGGAGCATGGACAGGACAGGCATGGTGGCACCAGCCTGCAGACCCCAGCACCTGGGAGTGTGGAGCAGGAGGAAGCCAAGTTCAAGTCGATCAGAAAGTGTCAAGGACAGCAGTGTCTCTCTCCCCCAGACTCCTTCCCTACGAGTCCTGTCTTTCAGTCTTTCTTATTCATTCTCCCTTTCCTTTCCCTCTCTGTTTAGAACGATGATGTATATGGAACTAAAGAACTGAAAGAGAAAAGAGAGAGAAAAAGAAAAAAAATAATAATAACACCTAAACTGGGCCCCATTTTCTTTTAATACTTTGAAGGACCGGGATTAGGTTTAAAATAAGTCTGGGTAGGGATGGGACAGTGGACTTATGTTTTCGTAAAACTGGAGACCAAAGCAGCTGGAAGTTGTAATGTGTTGGTTGGTAGCGAAAACTAAAAAACAAAAACACATACACACGAAAACAAAACTTGGAGGGACTGGGAGACAGGCAACCTGAGTGGAGTACTGGACAGGGAAATGAAAATGCTGATTCATTTAAAATGATAAAATGGAATCTTGTGAATACTGTACTAGCGAATATTCTGTTGCACTGTACAAAGTCTCTGAAGTGAAATTAAAAGTTTTTATTGACCCCGAAAAAAAAAATGGGTTTTAAAAATTTGGTAATGTTTTGTTGAGAATTTTTCCATCTTCCCTTAAGAGAGCTACTGATCACTAGTCTTCTTACAGTGTCCTTGGTTCTGGTATTTGGATAATGTTCCACTCACAATGAATTAGGGATGAGTGCTGGGGAGATAGCTCAGTAGAATATGCACTTGCCTGGCAAGTACAAGAGTCTGAGTTCAATCCCTGGTTCTGAAAAAAAAAAAAAAAAAAAAAAAAAAAAAAAAAAAAACAATGAATTTGGAAGTATTGCCTTTACATTTGTTTTCTGAAAGACAGCACACAGAATTGATATAAAGTCTTCTTTAAACATTTAGTAGAACTGATCAGTAACTCCACTTGGAAATGCTTCTTTCAGTTGTGGAAAGTTAATTATTGATTCAATCTCTTTAACAGATACATGACTCTTTGAGTTCCTATGCTCCCCCGCCACTACATACACACACAGTATTGTGGATTGAGCCCATGGCCTTTGCACTGAGCCACATGCAAAGCCCTTTTAAATTGTTTTAAATTTGGAGAGAGAATCTGTACTCAGTTGCCCAAGCTAAGCTCAAACTTTTTGTCAGTTTTTTGCCTCAGTCTCTCAGAGTTCTGGGATTACAGTAGTGCACCATTGTGCCTGGCTTTAATCATCTGTTTCTTCTTGCTTCAGTTTTGATTATTTTTCAAAACGCTTTTTCATTTAGGTTATCATGTTTGTGGACATAACATTGATAAAAAATTAGAAATGTTAATGAAGATATTAACATGTGTTAAACTAATGTTTACTGGGGAAATGCTCATATATGTCAACTGTGTAAAACTCTGGTGACAGTGGTGTACACACATGCATCCTCTGTCTCAGTTGTACCTGGGGCCTCTAGGCTTGGACATTCAGTTGCACAGACATTCTACAGCTAAAAGCTCCTGAGGCTGCTTTGCTTCTCAAGCCTTGTAGGTGAAGAGGCCTGTAGGGAGGGAGATTGGAGGGCCATACCATCATGCTCTGCTCCCTGCTCCCAGGGAGCAGGAGTCCAGGACAGTGTCAGAGCTTGGCACATGTCCTGCGGGGTTTGGTTTGTGACTGTAGTTAAAAGACTGTAAGATCCAGAACCTATCAGTAGCTGCCAAAGTAAGAAAGATTACTCTGGTGGCATGTGACACTTTCCCACTGGAGGGCAAAAGTAAGGTATATGCTTCTTATCCTCCAAATTTAAGCTCTGGAGAAAAAGTCATCTTGAAAGGAGCCCCACTGAAGGGAACCACTTTGTGGACCAACTCAACCACCACAGGGCCGAAAAGTGCTTCAGAGTTCAGGGATGGCAACAGCACTCCTAAGTTTGCTGCCTAATTAGGGCTTGTAAACCTGTCACCTGTTTAGTGACATCACACCAGGGACAGCTTAGTAGGATTTTACTTCTCCACTCTCCCCTCCCTTCTGTCTGTAGCCACGGAAGGGCCCAAAACGCAGCTACAAAGTACAAAAAGGAGTAAAGAAAAAGGAAAAGAAATTTATAGTAGTGCTTCATTGCAACCTTTCAAAGCTGAAGCAGTGGTCTCAACTTGTATAAATTTACCCTTTGTTTGTAGTAGTACCTGCATCTTCTAATCTGTTCCCTTGATCCTCAAGGTTTTTTTGTTTTTGTTTTTTTGCCAGTACTATGTTGATTTTATCACTGTAATTTTGTAGTATAATTTCAAGGATTGTAATGTCTCGTGCCTTGCTGGTCCTCTGGAATCCTCTTTGATCTTTTTTTCAGGTACTGTAATTGTAATTGTAAAGATCTTTTACTTCCTTAGTCAGGTTAATTCCTAGGTATTTCATTTATTTGAATGGTATTGTGAAGGGTATTGTTTCTCCAATTTGTCTCTCACTGTATTTGTTATCTGTGTAGAGAAATGCTATTGATTTTTGGGTATTGACTTTGTAACCTGCTATGCTACTGAATTTGCTTATTCATTCTAAAATCTGCTTCTTTTTTGCCGGAACTGGGGATTGAACTCAGGCCCTTGCGCTTGCCAGGGAAGTATTTATTCTATTGAGCCATCTCCCCGGCCCCTCTAGGAGCTTCTTGGTGGAGTTTTTTGAGTCTTCCAAGTAGAGTATCATGTCATCTGCAAATAATGTGAGTTTAACTTCTTCTTTACCTATTTTTTCTCCTTTTATCTTTCTTTCTTGTGTGATGGCTCTAGCTAATGATTCCAGAACTATATTGAATGGGAGAGTGATAAAGGACATCCTTGTCTTGTACTGGATTTGAGAGTAAAGATTTAAGTTTTTCCCCACTTAGAATTATGTTGGCTGTTGGCTTGTCATAGGTGACTTTTATCAGATTGAAGTAGAGGCCATCTATTCCAATTTTCTGTAGGGCTTTGATCATGAATGAGTGTTGGACTTTGTCAAAAGCCTTTTCTGCATTAATTGCCATGATCATGTGATTTTTGCTCTATTGATACAGTATATTACATTTATAGATTTGCGTATACTGAACCATCCTTGCATCCCTGGGGTGAATCCTACTTGGTCATGGTGTATCATCTTCTCGATGATTTGCTATATTCTATTTGCTAGGATTTTATTGAGGATTTTTGCATCTATGTTCATGAGGGAGATGGCCTATGAGCCTACCTGGCAAGCACAAGGTCCCAAGTTTGATCCCCAGTACCAGACCAAAAAAAAAAAAAAAAAAAAAAAGAAGAAGAAGAAGAAAAGAAAACTTATAAAGCATTCCTTTCTTTAATTTTGTAAGTCTTTACTGTAGAATAGCTCAGGATGTCAGTTCCGTTCTAAGTAACAGAACCAATAACTAGGCAAGGAAATGTAATTTGGATTATAAAATTCTTGCTTTAATAAAAATTCCTTAAGCAGTACAAAAATATAAATAAATAAATCTTCTCTTTAAATTTCTTGTAGAATTAAGCTGTGAATCTATCTGGATGTGTGAGCTTTTCTTTGTCGGTAATTTTTTTTTTAACATTTTCAATTTCATTGACTGATACTGAGTTGCTTAGAGTTTTTATATCTTCTTGATTGAGTTTTGGTAATTTGTACCTTTCTTGGAATCTGTCCATTTCTTCTGTGTCTTCGATTCTGTGAGAGTAAAGATTTATGATCTTCTGAATTTCCACAGGATCCTTAGTAATTTCACCCTTTTCATTCCTTATTGCTTGAATTTGAGTTTTTTCTTTCTTTTTTTCCCCCACTTATGTATTTAGCACAGGGTCTCCCTACACAGCTCAGACTCATAGCGGTCCTCCTGTTTTTCAGCCTCCTCAGCGCTGGGATTACAGGCATGCACTGCCTCGCCAGGACTCAATCACCAGCTCAGTGGTCCCCAGGAGCAGGGCTGGCGGGGCATGTGGAAAAGAGGATTGAGCCCTGGTCCCTGTGCTTACCGAAGCAGGTGCTCTTTCCTCTTTTTAATGAAGTCAGCTAGGGTTTTCTCAATTTTATTTAATCTTTCAAAGAACCAGATTTTTCATTCATTAATTCTTTGTATTGTTTTCTTTGTCTCAGTTGCATTAATTTCTGCTCTAATCTTTATGATTTCTTCCCATCTTTGGGCTTTGGGCTGGGTTTGCTCTTCTTTTTCTAGAAGCTTGAGGTGCAGCATTAGGGTATTTATTTGTTCTCATTCTGTGTTCCTAACATGAGTTCACTGCTGTGAATTTACCTTTAAAAACTGCTTTCATCACATCCTACAAATTCTGGTAAGTTGTACTTGAATTTTCATTAGCTTGTAGATATTGTTTAATTTCATCTGTAATCCATTGGTTGCTGAGGAGGGTGTTATTTAATTTCCATATGTTTGTGGGGTTTTTGTGGTTTCTTTTGTTATTAATTTTCAGTTTCATTGCACTGTGGTCAGATAATGTGCATGGGATAATTTCTGTTCTCTTGCACAGACTGAAGCATGACCTATGGACTAGTATGTGGTCTATCTTAGAAACCGTTCCATGTGCAGCTGAAAAGAATGTGTATTCAGATACTGTTGGGTGGAAAATCTGTATATGTCCACTAAGTACATTTCTTCAAAGGTCTGGTTCAGTTCTGCTACTTCTTTGCTAATTTTTTGTCTGCTTGACCTATCTTTTTGAGATAAGGGGTTGG